TTTTAAAAAAAAAAAAATCCTTGCTTACCTCGAGGTTGTAAATATCTTTCATATTTCTCTTCGTGTTCCCCAATTTTGCCTTTTACAGCTAAGCTTTAATTTAGCAGTCGAATGCAGGAGAGGCAGGTGGTCCGGCTGAAATACGAAGATTGGAATTTTAGAAGTCCAATCACATGCCTACATTGTCAGAGTCTAAAATTAATCAACGGCTTCATCCTACAGCTAGACAACAAGAGGACTCAGAAGATTCCATCTCTTTCCAAGCGTGCCCCTACGGTCCCCCATGTTGCCAGCTTGCCCATTCACTTATGTACTACCATTTTGCTCTTCATTTCTTCTTTCCTCTCCATCTGGATCACTTTTTCTGCCTTTAGGCAGAAAAGTCCTCAGACATGTTTTCACTGCCTTCCTTGTTCTTAAGAAATACTTGGACTGGTCTACAATTTCAGGGGGAGGTTATTTCTTGAAAGTACCACTCTTCTGTCCTCTGGCCTCCATTGTTGCTGTTGAGGAATCATCTGAAACTCCAACTGCCACTTTATTAAAGATACTCCGTCTTTTTTCTTCTGGTTCCTCTTCGTTTAAACATGTTTTTCTCTTTGTCGTTGATGTTCTTCAGTTTTTCTATAATGTGTCCAGGTATGGATTTCTTTTTATTTATGGGGTTTGTATGTATTGGGTACTTGTGTGTGTGTGTGTGTGTGTGTGTATAAAATATAGAGAGAGATTTTGTAATAAATTGGACTATATTAAAATTAAGGACATTTGTTCATAAAAAGATGCCATAAAGAAGGTAAACATACAAGACATAAAGTGGCTGAAGGTATATACATACATATGATATCACGGATACTACAGGATAAGAAGACTCCCATCATTCAGTAAGACAAGACAACCAAAAAAAATGTAAAAAAGAAATTTTACAGAAGATAAAAGAGAATTTTTACCAAAGAGAATTTTACAAAAGAGAAAAGATATATATATATATGTACATATACATATACATATATATATAGGGAGAGAGAGAGAGAGGGAGGGAGATGTCTTTATGAAAGGTCCTCAGTAAATATATCTCCAGATATTCCTGTTCCTCACTCTTTCTCTCCCCATTACTTCTGGAACTCCAAACATATATTACTCATCTCAGTGTACCTTCTACTTCTTGTTACTTCTCTTTCATATTTTATAAGAAATGGGAGCAGGCGTTAATGGAGCAAAGAGGGCAGGTGTAAGAGTGTTTCAGAGGGAAGAGTATGTGGTTACTTGAGCAAAGCCGAGAGGAAGTTTGCGTGGCCAATGCTCACGGAGTGAAGGGACAGGTGTGAGACATGGTGGGACAGGTTGTGGAGGGTTTGTGCCCAAGAGCAGTGGGGATCATTGCAGGGTTTAGAGTGATGACAGCAGGATCAGATCTGTGTATGGAGAAACTCACTCAGCTTTTGGAAGAGAATGGACTGGATGAAGGCCAGCCAGGATGTCAGGAGACTAACTACGAGGCTGTTGTAGTGTCCAGACCAGAAACACCAGCTTGTCCTCTGGTGCTGGTAGTGGAGATGATGAGAACAAAGTAGAATGAGAGATATTTAGGAGACAAAAGCCAACACGAGTTTGTGTCTTGGAAAGTTCTGGCTAGAGAATGAGAATGTAGCAGAAGTAAAGGTCATGCTATGACACAGAAAGAATATGGGAAGTCGTTACTTTCAGACCGTATCCCCAGGGGATCTCAAATCAACTGACAATCTGTTTGCATTAAAGAAGTGATTTGTGAACCGAATTTTTCTTGTCGGTGCCTGTTGGCCCTCTGTCCTCTCCTTGGACCTCCATCACCTTTGCTCTCTTCCTCAGGCTCCCGGCACCCTCACTTTCTGCGCACGATCATGCTTTCTGGTCCAGAGACAAGCTCACAGCAGCCCAGAGGGGATGTCCACGCGCCTGGTCGCCATCCCCGCCCCATTGTAGGCCATCTTCCCCTGTCCGTCCAAGCGCACTGTCCACACCAGGGTCATGCCCGCCTCCTGTGCACTGGCTTCTATTCCCTTTGCCCCCTCAACTCTCACTTTTCTCTCGGTATCATCATCTTCCCACTCTCTTAGATTCTCCCTATCAGTAGAGAAGTATGATGTAATTGTTTTCATTTAAAGAAGACCCTCTGAGCCCATGTGCCCACCCAGCCACGCACGAACCCTCTTCTCTGCTTTCGCTTGCAATTGTACTTCTCGAAAGAGTCGCCCGTACCCACTGCCTGCAGTTTCTCACTCCCCGTTCTCTCTTGAACACATTCCCACCCCACCACTGGACCTGGTCATTAAGGTCATAAGTGGTAGTCCTGTTGCTAAAGCCACATGGCCAGTGACTGACTGAATGGCCCAGAGGTATAAATCACTGCCCTGGCCTCAAGGTAGGACAAACTCTGTGCGCAGGCTCCACTCCCAAGCCTCCCTGTGGCGCCAGCCTGGAGCCCGTCTCCAGGAAACCACATTCCTGCTTTGCTTTCGTCCTGCTCTGTCCTGGCGCCTCTGTTCCCCTTTCCTGACCGAGATCAGCAAGTAAACCTCTTGAACCAAGATCCTCTCTCAGGCTCGGCTTCTAGCAGTCCAACGTAAGACAGTTCCTCTGTCCCATACTGGGTGTCCAGGGAAACTTTCCACATCTGGGTCAAATATTAAATGTTCCTACTATTGTAATTAACCTTGACCAAGACGTCGGTCTATCGCGTGTCTGAAATTTTTAGTTACTTAAGAAGTTCTGCCTGAGTCCTTCTGTCCCCCTGACCTAGTTTCACACAGATGAGGGTATCTTGCTATTAAAATTTTAACTAGCCTCCAGCACAGTTCCCAGTAATTAACACAGATCTGGCCCAGAGAAGGTATTCAATAAATATTTTGAATGAAGGACTTCTTTAACTCAACCCTCTGATGGGTCGTACCCATTTGCTTCATATTCTCTTTGTCTTAGTTGGTACCTTCTGCTTCCTAGGATGTATAAGCTTGGTGAGATGCTGACTTCTGCCTCCACATAAGTGGGACACATGAACTAAAAAGACAAAGCTTCTCTTCTGAAAGATAAGCTCCTTGGGAATGCAAAAAGCATTTAGTGCAGATGTTTTCTTACAAGGATCTCTTGTGGTTGGGAGGAGCCTTAATGGCCCTTTATTCCAGCCACTTCTTGTTCTAATCTTGCCATCACGTGATAAGGCAGCAGAGGCGTAGGCCCGACGCAGGCACGCAGTGAGGTAATAAATATTACCCTAAGCCACTAAATTTTGAGGTAATGAGTTCCTTGGCAGAGATACTAACGGTCCACGATGAACTGGCGAGATGCATCTGTTTCTAGGGAAGCATTTGGATTTAAGAGATGGAAGATCAGAAGTCACTCTGAACAGAAAGTTCAGGAACAGGAAAGAGCAGAGATCCAAGTTGACACTGATTAAAAACCAATGTTAGATTAGAAACTAGCTTTAGGAAAACCAGAGCTACTCCAATGTTGACCAAAAAAGAAAGAAAAAAAATCAGCCCCTTGACAGCCAAGCGATCTTCATGCCCTGTACTCTACGTTAAAAAACTAACGATGAGATCCTGGGATTTCGCTTCCCTGGACAAGCACTGTGATTTATTTTTAGAACCTAAATGTTTTCCTGAATAGATACTGTAATCCTTTGAAAATGCATATTTCCAATACTCTTTTAAATGCCTTTTTTTCCCCTCCAATTGTGTGCAAACTTTTCACGACAGCTGCACCTTTTCCTCTCTGCTGAGGATCAGGATGCCCCATCTTCCTTGTTGATTGTATGAGGCCCTTCCTTCTCTGATGACCACGGGGAAAATCTTGCAGGGGCCTCAGAGTCTGTGGTCTGTTTCCCACAAGGGCATAAAACACGAGGATGAGGGAAATACCCTTAATTGGAGTGGATACTTGATAACATGTCAAGACACGTTACAGCCGGAGACTCTTGAAGTGAAAAAATGAGGAAGTATGGTAATCTTGTAAATGAGCTCAGCTTTATTTTTTGTAAGTGTAGGGGCAAAACAATTTCTTCGTTATGCTATGGGTCAGGGGTGACGACAGTATCACAGAAAACAAATCTCTTTGCAACCCATCTTGTTGTAGAGCATATATTCGGGCTTAATTCTAGATGAGCTGTATGGAAATTGTGCAGGACGCAGGCCTATCTTCTCTTTCAAGCTGCCCCATATCAGGCAGGATATCTGGCGTCCCTGGCTCCTGCCCACTAAATTCCCCTTTAATAATCAGAAATACTCCCACAAATTTTTGAAACTGCCTTCCGGGTGGCGGTACCGTCGTTGGAAATCACTGCTCTATTGTTTAAAATTCATCGTCAAGTCCTGAGGACTATACTGTCAAAACAAATCCTGCCATTCCTAGTATATGACTAGTCCTTGAGCAAGACTCCGCCCTCAGCTCAGGAAAGGAGCATAAGACTTAGCCTGAGTCAATCAGTGTATTGTATCTTTTGGTGACAACGGTTGGTTTAGGGTACATGAGTCCATTGGAGCCAATGACACATAATGGAACTTCAGCCTACCAACCTGGGAAAGAGCCTCTGGTCCTCCTCTGGCAACTTGAATGGCAGAGGTTGTAGGGTGTGGAGCTGCTATGGTCATTTTGCATCTTTTAGAGCCCGGAGTAGAAATCCACCCAGTGGAATGCATAGTTGGCTCTGGGTGACCTGTAGATGGTTCTTTCCGTGCTATAACTCCTGCTAGCTTTGAGAAGGAGGAAACTATATTTCTACTTTATGGTTGGGTTGGGGATTGCCTAACAGCACGGCCCAGGAAGAACTTGTATATGCAATCTGTGGTCCTGGTACCTTCACAGAATATTTTTCTCGTACTGCCTCGATCCCTGAACCAGTTACGTGTCACCAAGACTCCATCCTAGACCTTTATGGGAGGGAGGGAAAGGCAGGGTCAACACAGAGGTGCACAAAATCACTTTTCCAGTCCTAATTATTTTGTTTATTGTCTGTCTCCCCCGACCAGAATCTAATTTTCATAAAGGACAAGAATTTTCACCTGTTTTGTTCACCGCTGTATTCCCAGTGCCTAGGACAGTGCCACAGAGAGATGAGGAAAAGGTAAGTCTTGGTTTCCTGGTTTTCTTTTTTTTTTTTTTTTTAAGATTTTAAAAATTTATTTTAGAAAGAGAGAGAGTGTGTGTGCACAAGCAAGGGGGAGGGGCAGGGAAAGGGACAAGCAGTTTCCGAGCTAAGCGTGAAGCCTGACAACCCTGAGATCATGACCTGAGCCGAAATCAAGAGTCGGTTAACTGACTGAGCCACCCAGGTGCCCCAGTTTCCTGGTTTTCTGTATTTGCCACCCAGATGGTATTGATAGTCACTCATATTCACTCCGTTTCTGTTTTTTAACTTTTCATTACAACATATTTCAAATATATATAAAGTGGAGGAAATATAAATGAAACTCCTTGTGGTCGTCACCCAATTTCACAATTACAAAAGCCAATCCAGTTTCCTGTTTACCTGCCTCCACTTGCCCTCTCTGCCCCTCTAACTAGATTCCATTAAATAAAATCCCAGAGACTTGCACACACTCCTTTTAGTAACTTCTCTTGATTCTGGGATACTACTTCCTTGTTTATTATACCTTTTCTTTCTAACCACTCCTCCTTAGTCTCTGATCTCATGGGGAGCTCTGGAGTTGGATGGTTTTTTAGAGTAGTCTCACCTTGAGGTCAGAGAGGGGTGGGTCTTTATTATTCCTCTGCACTCCTGGACCAGTCATGGAGTCGGGGCTCCCCCCACCCCAGGGAGGGCATGCACTTGGGCGGCGCTCTCTTCAGCTCATGGAGGGTGGCTCTGCATGGCTCACAGCACCCATCACAGTCCACGCCTCATGCTATTGCATCCATTAGCTTCCTCAACACTTTGCTTCTTCTCTTTTCTTAGAAGTTACAAGAGGAAGGTTGGTGGGATGTGTCTTAGTCCAGTCAGGCTGCTGTAGCAGAATCCCACTGACCAGGGGCCTTATAAACAACAGAAATGGACTTCTCACAGTCCTGGAGGCTGGAAGTCCAGGATCAAGCCTCCAGCAGATCCAGTGTCTGATGAGAGCATCCTGGAGCATAAATGGCTGTCTTCTTATGGTGTCCATATATGGTGGGGGGGCCTAGGGAGCTCTGTGGGGTCTCTCTTCTAAGGCACTAATCCTATTCGTGAGGGCGCCACCCTCGTAGCCTAATAATCACCTCCCAAGGGCCTCACCTCCCAATACCACCACACTGAAGGTTAGGTTTCAACATGGGAATTTTGGGGGACAAAGACCTTCAGTCCACGGCAGGATCAAATACAGACTCTGCAGCTGATCTTAAGACTACAACGGATAGTCATCATCTCCTCCTCTATTACCAATTCCAGACGGCCTTCCCCCTCAATTGGCTCCTCTGCTGGGACAGGTAGCTTACCTGGTGATGTGACCTCCATTTCCGAGAGGGTTATGTCCTTGCTCACAATGCCCTTCTTCGGCTGTGACTCCTGCATCTGTCCACTTACCTGTAGCACTGGTCATGAGGATGCAAAGAGCCACCCAGTGGATTACCTGGGTATCAAATTTATTCTTCTTTGTCCCCACTGTGTCAAAGCAGGGCACTGCCTGTTCATGATCAGGGTCAAGGCTCAACCCCTCTGCCAGGATGATCTCTCCTTTTCTTGCCTGATGGCCTTATGGCATGAGATTAAAGTGCCCAGGCACTTCTATTCTTGAGCATTCTACTTTTCCAGTACACGATTTCCTAAATAAATGACCGGAGATCTCTTTGGCAAAGGACTGTGGGACCATTACTGTATTTGCTTGCCATCGGGACTCCTGAGGACCCAACCTCCCTTTCATTAGTGGGTTCTGGGTCAGAAAACTGGCTCAAGGATTGAGATTGATTTTATCACTTCTTCCACCATCTGTGTCAACCATTCTGGCGTTTCAGCCTTGCTTAGTATGGACCATGATTTTGTCCAATGTTCCAAGAGTCCTCCCCATAGCATGATGCAACCATCTCCCAGAGCCCTTGCCAGGGTGGCTGGCCAGCTATGGCAGGAGACAGCTCCCATCCAACCTTATCTCCCGCCCCCTTTGATCCAGCACCCTCAGGACCCAGCCCCGTACACCGTCTCCAGCTTGGCCAGTCCACGCGGGCTGGACCCCACAGGCCCTTGGGGCTTAGTCCCTCTTTCCCCCCGGCCGCCCAGCACTTCCCACCATGTGTTGCCTGCCCCCGAGTCTAGTTATTGGTCTGGTGGGAGTGGGAGTGGGGGTCGATTCTTCGGGGGCCTGTGTGGTCTTGCAGTGTGGAGACCTCTCTGCCTCGTGCTCGAACGAGGGACGAGTGCAGCCTCAACAGGGAGGATGGGGCCCATGTGGCTCTGCATGGCGTTTCCAGGCTTCAGCCATCAGCACTAACTCTGAGGTCCCCATCCAAATCCTAGGGCCCCTCTCCCTCCAGCCTGTGGCAAGGAGGAGCGGATCTGCCAGGGCTGGGGGTTCCGATTCTTTGGAGCGCTGCTGTCCTCATACTTAGGCCCTGCTCCTTATCCTCGGCCTTTTCTGCCCTCCGGCTGCGTAGGAGCTCTTCAGGTGCTTGCTATTCATGAGGCTTTCTAACTTCCACGCCTTGCTTCCAGTGGTGATTCATAGCCCTGGGCCTCACTCGGTCTTTCTGTAACATGGCAGTGACTCAGCAAAAACCACCGGTTCCGTCGTTCTCATGAGTGGCAGCTTTTCAGAGTCTCCCAAAAGCCTGGATATCGTACGTCCCAGCCTACCAGCACATTCCCTCCACCTTGTAACCCATCCCAGCTGATCACCAGTGAAGGTCTGAACAACTGTGCTTCTCCAGAGAGTCAGGGATTGTCAGGATTTCGCTTACCACCAGGGATGAGTCTTCATTTCCAGTTGGCAGGTGAGTGATCCCGCTCTATAATTCAGTTTGAGAGGCTATTCTGTGGATCCCTCCTGGCACCAGCTGTCTTAGGTCAGGTTCTCTGGGAAACAGAGGTAGATTTGAAGATCTGTGTGAGACAAGTTTATGCAGGAGTAACCTTGGTATCTATATCTATAAAGGAAGGACGGAAGTAACCCTGGGCAGAAGGAGAATCTGAATGTTGCTGTTGAGGTCATAAGAAGGGCCTCAACCAATCCCACTGGGAGACCGATCAGGGGTGGCCTTTCTGAGTGTCCTACCATAAGGGAGGGGCCAGCCCCTTATCATCCACCCCCTTGGTCGACCAGTCATTGGATGCCACTGCTGTGAACTTGGGCAAGGTGGCTCTCTTGCCTGAGGGCAGTTCCCAGAGAGGGGCTCGGCAGGGAGCCCACAGCCACCAACACTCCCAGCAGCTGGGGGACGATATACAGGACCTGGGCACAGTGTAGCAACCACCGTCTCTTTCTGAGCTCCTCTTTTTTTTTTTTTTTTTTTTTTTTAATTTGAGATAGAGCGAGAGAGGGAGAGAGAGAGAGCACAAGCAGGGGGGAGCGGCAGAGGGAGAGGGAGAAGCAGGCTCCCCACGGAGCAGGGAGCCCGATGCGGGGCCCGATCCCAGGACCCTGGGATCATGACCCGAGCCGAAGGCAGACGCTTACCCGACTGAGCCGCCCAGGCGCCCCTCTGAGCTCCTCTAGATCCATACTTGTGGTTCAACTGCCTGCCCTGCCCCCCCATGCCACGGACTCGGGCTTCTGTCCTCCATCTCCCAGCTCCAATAGCACAACCCATCTGGGAGTGGAAATGAGATACATTACGGCGAGTGTCCCACTTTTGGTCTCAGTATCCAGTTTTTCTCTCTCCTCCAGAACTACAATCCATCATCCATGCTGCTGCTGGAGGACACTTGGGAATTGTGGTCAACAAAACAGATGAAGTCTCTCCCGCCATGGGACTTACCTTTTAATGGGAGAGACAGGAGGTAACAACGAAGAAATGAGCGAGCGAATAGATAAATAAATATTAGGTAGTGATAATTGTTATGCCAAGGATTAGAATGATATGATGGGGTGCTGACAGGGCTGGTTTCTAGTAATATCCACTGCCCGACTGAACACCCCCATGGGCTTCCCATTGTCTTCTGGGTGCAGTTCAGACTCCAGTTTGGCACAAAAGACTCCCGTGGAGGTAAGTTCTGGGCCCGTGGTGAGGATTGGACTGGGGTCCTTATGGCCCCTTGGATTCGGGCATTTGGGTGATAGGCTCTTCCCGGAGGGTGAGGCCATCTGCTCTGAGTACCTCCTTCCCCATTTCCTCTTCCTTCCCTTATCCCCCCGGGATCCCCAGTGCTGGAACAATATTGCTTATGAGCTGAATTGACAAAAGCCAGCTGCCTCAGCAGGTTTATTCTTATCAGTGACTGAACCCAGACAATTAACAATCCATTTCAGTGGTGACTTTTGCCATTCTTTTTGGGAAGTGCTGAATGGGACATGGCTTTTGGGAGGAGAGATTCTTTTTTAGACCCGGAGATGCAATGCTCATTTCTACTGAGCCTGTCGCTGGAGCTTGGTCGGTAGCCCCCATGCTTCTCACTGTCCCCTCCTAGCCCAGCACCCAGTCTCTAATCTAGGTCACTGAGGTTATGGAAGGAGCTTGTGTTGAGTACAAAGACTGAACAAAACCGAAACGCAACCAAGCATGTTCTCAGTAGTGGGTTCCGTGTCATGGCTGATAATTCTTCCATGATCCCCGTTCTTATCAGGAACTGTGACTTCATTTCCCTGCACTCATGGCTGGTGAGCACCGATGAAGGAGGGAGCAGAAATCCCCCTTCCCTCGGAAACAGAAGCTCCTGGCAGTCTTGCTTCGGCTCATTTATCAGGGCTCCTAATCATTCATCTGAAGAAATTGGTGAATGAATAAATAAATATCCCTGATGTCCAGCCAGAGCTCTTCTTCTTCCCCCAGCCTCCTCTTCTCCCCTTGCTGGAGCAGTGGTGTTCACCACCTTCCCTGCACTTGCCCTTCTCCCTCCCGCAGATCTGGGTCACTGTTTACCTTCACCTCCCCCTAGCGGCAAGCTGGGTAAATCACCCGCCGGAGCCTGGCTTCCAGGAGCCAGGCTCACCTGTTCTGATGCAGACTGCAAAGAGAGTACTGCTGATGAAGACAAGCATTTATCACTCCGAGGAGGTCCCACTCTCATCTCAACCACCACAGACAGTCCTATCGTAATACCGAGATGATTATCCTCTATTAATTGATTTAAATAGACACACGAAAAAGTACGACTATATAAATCAGACTTTGTAATTTACACAATCAAGCCTGAGGCACTTTTCTCTTATTAGACATAAAGTATAATTGATGAAAAGCAAAAAGCTTTCATCTGAACGTTTATATTTGCAATACACTGTAAAGGAAGTAGATTTCATAAGGTTGGTATTGGTCATATGGATTGCCCTTTGAGTGGAATCAAAAGGGCTTTACTGAAAAAAACTGTATAACCCCAGGTTAAGTCTGTATATCCGAGGCTGAGAAAAGTCATAAGAAGGATGGGGTAAGCCATATGATATAAAAAAGGCTAGGAAGACCCTTGCTGTGCCTGAAAATTTTACCCTGCGTCACTCAGCCCGAAATGATAGAATTACCTTGGACTCAAGTCAAATGTTCATACTGGTAGACAGATGTCATTAGAATCCATTAATTATCAGCTTTCTGTCCTTCCCCTGGTTAAACCTCTGAAAGCCTAATGCCGAGCCACCAAAAAGTGGGGGAAGACAGAACTGTAAGGAGCTGGGTTGACCGTCACCCTATGGGGAAGCTAAAAGACCGAATGAGCAGTGGGGACAGAGGATGGGGCACATTCTCGGAGGTGGAAAAAAAAGTGTGGATAGCTTTACCTCCAGTTCTCCTTGGGTACAGCTTCTTAAAATTGATGTTTCATGAGTCCTTGGGAGAATTTCTCTCCCAAAAATGCCAGCGGTATAGTTCAGGAGCTGAAAGAAAGACCTTTATTCCTTATTTTAGCTCCCTGTTAACTCCTTAACCCTCCCAACAGCCTGGAGCTAGGCGCTGTTACACTATTCACTGCACAGGTAAGCAGCGACATGGAGAAGTTAAGGGACTTGCTTATTAGAGTCACTTAGCCAGTGAGCGAGAGGGCCAGTTCCAGCCCTGGAGGCTGGCCATCTGCAGTAACTTTTCTGACAGTGGGACATCGAGCCAGGGGACTCAAGCATGTTACAGTGGGTCCACCAAGATCTTTAGGTAACTGTCGGTGCTGCTGGGTCTGAAAGAAGACAGTTTTGTACTGAAGCTTCATTTAGCACACAGAACTAAATCTTATCCTTCGGGATTCTCACCTGAGTCGGAATCTGGCTGGCCTTAAGTTCTGTGGGTTTGTGTGGTTCCTGCCCCACCCCCATGAACACCAATTTCATGAATTGCTTTATGTCAAAGACAATAAGATTTCTTTAGAAAAGTCTTTTCGTGGTGGCTTAAGTGTTTCCAAAATGATCAGTTTAAAAATTTCACAGTAGCTGAAGACAAGAGAACTCAGTTTGTGGCCTTGACTATATTTCAGTACACAGCACATTATTCCGGTGGGGCCGAAGAATGATGGAGAAAGAAACCAATTCTGATGCCAAAACCCAAACTTACTTTGCATATGCAGGCAATCCATTGAATTAAAAGAACAATTAAAGAGAGCGCAAACTCACTCTTGTTATGGTGATTTCTTATGCTTTTTTTTTTTTTCCAACTGTGATTTTATCTATTATGTGAGCATAAACTCATGTGGTTAGATTTGTTACCAAGGGTGGGAAATCTCATTCCAGATCAACCAGTGAAAGCTGGGTAGTTTTAACCACTGACATCTGCAAAGCTAAGTAAGACCCACGTTGCCTCTATTATGCAGTGTTTCCTACCGTATTTCTGAAAATGTGCTCAATTGTCACATAGTAAAAGTAAACATTGGGTTAGTTCCAGGGATGTTGGTTCTCTTGAAAAAAGTAACTCCAGCTTCTATGTTCTTTACAAACAACTTAAGTAAATATATGAAGTAAGATTCCAATCCTTTCACCTCTGATGACTGGTCCATCTAAGATTTCATGCACTGGGAATGGATGAGGAGATGAATGGTATCTTTGGAAAGATTGTGAGTCTAGACTAGGGGGCAGGTCAGTTTTATGTCTTTGCACAGAAAAAAACCTTTGCTTATGGAGCCAGATGGTAGACAGAATTGCTCTACTTAATTCTGGAAGCTGTTCGTGAAGGAGCGTGCCCTGGATACACTGACAGAGATGAATGCTTTGGAAAGAGCGTTCACCGAAAACAGAAACTTGATTTGCAAGTGAGGAGGGTTTGGCTGTTCCCTCAGTGACTCATTTTCAAGGATGGCTTTAAGAAAGGTGTGAATTGAAAATTAGATCTGAAATCACGGGATAAGAAACATCTTCCTGTATACTTACATGTTTGGGCATATGATTAATTTTTGGCCATTTAGCAGGACTGTTAGAACAAATCACAGTCAGAAATAAACTCCTCATACTTTGTGTGCTATGATGCATTTGCTTAGCACCCAAGGATTAGATTTTTGCCAGAGTTTGAAACAAGGAATAACTAAGATTTGCTTTGCAAAGAAGAAATTAAGGGAGCTGGTATATCACCTCTGTAAACAATCCAGATTAATATTGTGCTTAATATTGTGTAGGATTAGTATTTTGCATTATGTGTTCACATACAGAAATTCATGTATGTAGCATTTCTCTTTCCAGAAGTAATTAGGGGATTCAGGTAAAACAAATTTGTGTGTGTGTGTATGTGTGTGTGAACACTTTGTTATATGAAAGAGTTCTTTGTGTTGAACCACACACTGGGAGATGGTAAATTAGTGGTTCCTTCCAGGGTGTGTTATGTTTGATTACACTTAGATTCCATAATATTTTACCCTTTTCATTTTGTGCTCGTATTTTCAGTGGTTTATGAAGTAACAGTCTCTAGATCTCATTCCAAATGGAAAGTTGGCATGAAAACTCTCAATCCAATTATTCCTGTACACATTTTGAAACAAATCATTTTGGCTTTTTTGAAAAATTTACAGGAGGTGATAAAAATAGGAAATTTCATGTTTCGGATGTTTTATTGCATTCTTGTAGCATAATAACAGCTTCATTAAAAATAATTTTGCAATACAATGGCAACTTTGTGAGATGTCTAAAACACATTGGCTGGCTCTCTTTTTAAAGCTTTGTTTGCAAGAAAGTTGTCTTATTTTACATTTTATGTTTCATTTTATTTTGCTAAGATTTTGTGTGAGATATGGAATGACTACCCCCCAACGCATGACTGTAAGGATTAAGGCATCTGGGATGGGGTACTACACTTGAGGGGGAGGACTCACTTCCCAGCTGGGGTCCCACACACACAAAGATGCTAAGATTGGTCTCAGGGCCCATTGCAATATCCTAACCTCAGAGCCCTTCAGCTTGTGGGACGGGCTGGAGGTGGCCATTCCCTAGAGCACTTGCATTCTACACAGCTTTTTGCTCAGTCTTTACGGAGACCATGAAGGGGAAAGCAAAACCATCCCTCTCTCCTCCGAATCTGGGAAATGATTGTTTCACAGACTGAACAAATTTTAGGAGGGTGGAAAGAAATCTAAAAGCTCACTTAACGCAGATGTACTTGTGCGACTCGATTCCCTTCTCCAATATCCCCCTCCCCAACAATGCTCAAATATCCCCAGCAATGGGAAATTTAGTCTCCAAAGGCAGGCCTGTGAACAACCCGTGTTACAAAGTTCTTCCCGCTATCGACCTGAAATCTGTCTTCCTGTCATTTCCACCCATTGTTCCTGGTTCTGTGCCTCAGACCCCAAAAGAAACAGGCCTGTTTTCCTTTCTATGACAGCAGTTCAGCTCTCAGAAGGGAAGCAAGGGGTAGAATGAGAAGGGTCTGTGGTCAGGCAGGGTCCTGTTCTCTCTGACCCTCAGTCTTCTCTTCTGTGCAAGGGTGATTCTAAAACCTGACTTACAGAGTGGTGGTGAAGGTTTGAGAAAATGTGTATGAGCCACCTGGCGCAGTTCCTGACCGATACTCAGTAACAGATTACCAGTGTCTACTCTTGAAGGTGCCTAGTAAATTCCTCTAGGGTTTCCTTTTCTTTGGGCTGCAGCCTCTGTTTTTCATTTGTTTTCCCTGTTTTCGGCCTGGGGTCCCCGCATCTTCTGGGTCATTCTGGGTTTGCCCAGGACATCTCTACCCTTGTTTAGGCATGGTGCTTGCCGGAGAACAGAATGGAAATGCTGCCCAGGAGCCTGGCCACTGGCCCTTGATGCTTCACTGGGGTCCACAGGGCATTTTATTCCCATCCTTTCATTCAGAGACCAAATGCTAGCAAATGTCCTCTAGGGAATCATAGGCATTTCGTGCAATAAGAACAACAAAGAATCAGTAACAAATCCACACTCTGCACTATTCTACTAATAAATTGCAGCCTGCTTCTCGTGTGTGTCTTGCGCCAGACACCTGCAGATTTCTTATCTGACTCACTCCTCACACCAGCCCAGCGATGCCCAATGCCAATGCTGTGTCTACCTTCCTACCGAGGAGGCAAGCCGTCCAGACCCCTCCCTTCCCCACACCACCCCCAAACTTCTGCTTTGCGTCCGTCCTCACTGTTTATATCTGATTCTCTTGACTGTTTTCCCAGCACAGCTCGGAGCTCCCAGGTCCCGAAAGGGTATTTCATAAGACAAACAGAACTACCATTTCTTGGGTAAGAGTAATTATAGTATCTGTGGACCCTTTTAACATTGCTCCAAGTGGACACTTCCAAATCATCTGAGAAATATTAAAATTTAAAAATGCAATAGAACCTCAATCTAGGGTTAAATGTTTAATAATATATAAAAAGCAAATGGTTATAATGGGAAAAAAGTGCCTATAGCCAATGTTCCCTGTAAAAGAGACTCCCAGGCAAGTTCCAGAGGTTAGCCTAGAAAGGCCAGGGTGGAGGCATCCAGCTTATAATAAAATTCCTCTTCTCGGGTTGCTTCTTTTCCAGGTCCTACGAAAACAAGTATAATAATACACTTTGCCTTTAGGTGCCAAGACTTGTATTGTTCACTTCCAGACACTTTTCTTTATTACGTTTGGGAACAAAAGCCTGGCTCTAGGGTGGGGGAGGGGGTATTGGGTGGAGACAGGAGAAGAAAGAAGAGCCGGACGTGGGACACTGCCTCACAGGATTGTGAGACATTCCGTGGCTTCACAAACTCTCAGGAGACTCTTCCTTTGCTCGAACTCGGGCCATACAGCTCTTGTCTTGCAGAAGCCCCATGTCCAGCGGTGTCCCACCAGAAAACCACTGACATTTCGAATCAGGATGATCCGGGGAGGGTGAATAAGAGACTGTTTTCAAAGGTGTGGGCGGACTGTTGGAAAGTCCCAAAGAGCAGTGCAGTAAGCAGAGTTCATGAAGCAGAGCTGCCTGCCCCTCGGCCCACTGGGACATGGGGTGGGGTCGTTACTGGGATGAGGGAGAATCACATAGCAAGGACCACCTTTGGAGAATGGGGGGGCACAGCCAACTCCAGGAGACCCCACAGGGAGGGAGCCTCTTCCCCATCAGGACCCCTCTCTGGCCAAGCCTGACTGGAGGGCAAGGGAGCCCCCTGCTCTCCAAACAGGCCGGCCTCCCCAGGCAGAGAGCACAGTTAGGGGGAGGGGGCGTGGGTTTGGAGGGCAAATGGGTGCTATCGGGCACAGCCTTGATACCCACAGCACGCTGCGCAGCCGGATGTGTCCTGCCGGGCTGATCCGTGTTTTGTGGAGCAATGTAAACTGTAGTCTTTACCAACATGCTGTTCTTGCTGAATCATATGCAGTGTTCTTTCACCCCTGAATCATGATTTCAAGTGCCCTAAAATTAATGCTTGTTTTGAGAGGGTCTCTGTGTGTGTGTGTGTGTGTGTGTGTGTGTGTGTGTGTGAATTCTTGCCTAAGCCCTTACGTGGCATGTTGGAAAACTGGACCACGGCATGAGGGACAAGCAGGCCTGATGTTTTCTTTCCTTGTGTGGGGGAAGGCAGTGAAACGGGGCTCAGTACAGAGTTTCTGGAATGGGACCGGTGCATTCCCACACATGGTGTTACTTAAAACTGAATAAGCCAGACTTGGGGTATTGCTCTGTGAATTATTGTCATTGTTTGGCTCAGGCTTTCCAAGTTAGACACTGGAGGGTGGGACATGGGCTGCACCTTCAGGGAAATAGCAGTGACTACTCTCCTTGAGAGGAGCCTGGGCCCGGGAGATGGACTCTCTCTGGGACCCAGAGGAAGGTAAGTCTGGATGCAGGGGGTTGGAGCCAGCAAGATTCCCACGGATGGGGGTAGTTGTGGCCTCCTCAGGTGGGCTCGCTGGGCCGGGGAGGCTGGGCAGGGATGCTGAGGTCTGGTTCGGATCTCAGCGCGCCACCCCCCCAGTAGCATCTGTGACATAGAGTGCCGTCGTCCTGCAGGCCGTCAGCCTCGCGCCCACTCCGGGAGCAGGTTACGGCTGCTGTCATTGTGCCGGGGGATTGGAGAGCCGAATCTCGTCTTCAAGATGGTGGAGGGTATCGGGAGCATCATCTTTGGGAGATGCGGTGTCCAGAAGAGCCGAGGCAGCAGCTTGGCGGCAGGGACAAGTCAGTGTGGAGGAGCCATACCCACTA